GGGGATTGATTCCTTGATTCTGTTGTGTTACAGATCCACCATCCCTGATTGGAAAGAGGCCTGTGATCTGGTAAGGGAGATGAGGAAGGTTCACTCCATCTTTCTTCTGAGGACAATGTGGCTTGAGCTTTGAAGTGTCCCATCTCCTCCTTCTGCTATTCTCAGTTTGCTGGAAAACCGAGTTCACTTCCTACCATACCCTATTTGACCTAGAATCGGAGGACTCTGTTGAGCACTGGGATTTTCCAAACCCAGTGTACTGGTGCAAACCCTGAGTCCACAGCATCCCTGGGGGAGGGAAATCTACAATGGCCCCTTGAGAGGAGAGGTGCAACTTCAGCTGCTGTCTGTGGTGCTAATAAGAGCAGGAATTCCTGACCTTATGGAGAAGTGGGAGCACTGGAAATTGGTATTTCCGAAGGTTTAGAAGAAGAGCAGAGAAATGGAAGTCAGGAATCTCAGGCTGAAGGACAGAGGTGCATATGTGATGACATTGTACCTCTGGTCCATTCTGAGTCGAGCGCTTACAAAAGTCCCTACTTTCCCTGGAATACTCCCCAGAATGTTACAGCTGTCCGTAGACTGTAAGGAGGTTTCCCTTCCTATTTCTCACAGATTCCCATGTGCAGCTCTATAATGAGTCAGGGCAGGGCTGTCTTTATTCATTTCTATTCTCTATGAGTCTACAATCCCTAATCCTGGAGCCTGTGCCCTTCCTGATGGATGCTGAATGAACTGATGACTCACCACTGAGGACTCCTTCAGAGGCAGAATGGGCAGGAGCTGGGTTGCCTTGGTGAGAGTTTCCATTTCCATGTCATCCTCCCTCCTTTTCCCACCAGCTGTCCCTCTTCTCCAGTTGTGGAATTTGCCAGGAATGATGCCTACCTCTTCACTGGGCAGTACTCCGGTCTGTCTGTAAGGCTATCTGAACAATTGATATCATTCCACATTTGATGCAAAGCCTGGATCCACCCCTAGTATAACCACTAAAATCTGGAGACTTGCATTAATTCAAAGGAAGTATCTCTGAGAGGAAACTTTTTATTTTGACACCACCAAATTTTTATTTGGTTTGTAGCAAATTTTTTTTAATTTTTTGTTTTTGTATCATAAAGTTGACTTCTACCATAAAATTTATGATTCACAAATCAGACAGGATCAAATACAATCATTTTCTTCTTTTTCACTGGTTCCCTATATCACTTGAGAGAAAAATAATGTCAAAGAAAACCAGAGTTAGACGGTGAAACTTCAAAACCAGATTTTCTCATTAACTATTGTACTAGTGCAAATGAGCTGTCAGTACCAACTGGGCTCCATTCTGGAATACAACTAGAATAAGAGTGGATAGAGTGATCTATATACAAGTTATATGCTGGTGTGTGGGAGGAGGTGGGAATCAGTGGATGAAATATGGCCAAGAGGCGATATCAAGACTAGGAAGAACAATGCTAAATTAACTCAACTGATTTTTTTTTTTATGGCAGGCCAGGGTGAGCAGATATGACATGAGAGATGATGGAGGATAGGGAATTTGGTCAGATATCGAGGGTGAGAGATGCATAAACTGAGTTAGGAGGATAAGGTAAGGTCTTCGTTGTGAAGAGGATTCAGAGGAACATGCTAAAGTTTGGTCAGGCAGAAAGAGTCTTTATCAGTTGGCAGATATCATTAGAGACCTTAACTTCTGGGCTCCAAATAGGGAGAGGTATAAGTCTGTGTGTCTTCATAATACAGAGTCTCTTTTACTCACATCTCTCTGTTTCCCATAAATCTCAGGTAGAAGAAGGGAAAAGTCTCTACAACAGAGAGTGACCAAATGACCGCACAGTGTCAAAAACATGCCTCAAGAGACTTCTAGATTGTGAAGCTTGGCTGTTGAGAGTTGGCACCAAGTCCCGGGTCAGGAGCATTACTGTTGCATCCAGGTGAACTGGAACCACGGTATATATGAGGGTCCAGTGCAGATCTGTTGTCACAAGCAACGATGTAGAACATCTCTGCCTCTGTCTGTGCATATCTGCAGGTTTGAACAGTCCTTGGAGTTGTGAGGTTACAGTAGGTTAAATTCACCTTGACTGAGCTATTATGACAGTTTTGACTTTGGCTTGTAATGCATTTTATAGCTGGAGTAAGACAAACATCAACTACATTAGGAAAAATTGAATTCAGAAAAGTATTTCGGTTTTTGCATCGTCTTGTATAGCTGTTCACTACCTGCATTACATCATCACATTGGGGGTGGGTCATGTTTATGTGCTGAATGGTAAACCACTGAGCCTGGGTTAAATTACCAGCTGGGGTACAGAGTGAGCCTATCACTTCCATGAGCCCCAGCAGCAGAAGCAGACAAAATCGGGAATCGAGCTGTTTTGGAATCATGTTTTCTGTGAGGAAAGAAGAGAAGTAACTACTTCTGCATCCCTTCTTGGCTCTGACACAAGCTTTGGTGTCTCACTCTGCAGGCCCCTCTGCCGTCCCTCTGGGGTCTCATTCCCTTTCCCTTCTTGCCCCCAAAGTGTACCAAGTATCCCAGGAACTAACTTCAGCTTACCCCTCCCTCAGTCGCTGCCCCATCACTGCCCCTCATGCCCCAACTCTGGGGATCAGTGACTTACCTAGGCTCTGTGCTGCTGCTACTGTGAGAATTGATCAAGCAGGTCATGCTGGGGCTCAGGAGTAGCTGGTGGGTCCCCCCTTATTTGGAAGTATAGGTATAACAGCAACCTCGGTGGGTGGGGCCAGCAGAGCCGAGAGGGTCTGAGTGTCCTGATTAGCCCATTTGTGCAATCAGCCTTTCTGCTGGATCACTTGGCTGACTAAGGAATACCCAAGGATAGCACTGCGACTGCTTCTGTTACAAGAGATCTGATATACTTTGTGTAGGCCATAGATCTGGCCTCTGTTGCTGAAACATATATACAGGCTGCAGAATGAACCCAGATTTTAGAACTGTGCTTCTATAAGACTGTGATCCATAAAGGCAGGCTGAGAACCAATACTCAGATCAAGCAGAGCCAGGAGGGTTTTTTGCACAGCATAAACCCAAGCTTCCCTTTTGTTTTTAGTATTACACATAGATCCTCATACAGATGTTGTCCATATCATCCCTCTCTGCAGTAACCTTGAGTTTCGAATTTCTTGCTGCTCTTAATTCTGCAGGTACTTAAAGCAGTTTATTACACATATTTGAGAAATTTTCCTTGCTTCTTTACATGTTCTCTTCTTTTAATTCTTGCCCTGATCATGGCTTCTACTTTGTGAAAAGTCACAAAATCTGAAAACATCCAGAGGAAAGGCATTCTGTAAAATCTGCCAGACAATGAACATTTGATGACATCAAAGTTTCCAACCTAGCAATCAGTATGCCTGCTTCTCTTCAACCTGCACTATTTCCCACAAAGCAGTGTGTTCTGGGGTTGTCATTCACCTTCCTAGTAAATTTCATTTTATGATGTTAACAGAAAAATGATTTGGTATTTGTAAAAAGAACATTTACAAACAGGGCCCTGTATTTCTGCAAGAATATAAGTCACAGTGTATAGCTTGATACATAAGACACTCTTTGAATGGTCTCCAGGGAAGACAGAGGAAATAATTATGAACAATTTTATTATAGCGTGAGAGATGTACTACCACTTGTGTGAACATGGTTTTATGGAGAAGCTGAGAATGAAAGAAATTACATGGTCTGATGGGATAAAAAAGGCTTTGAGAAGAAAGATCTACTTGAACTTAAACCTAAGCTGGGTTTGCAGGGACTTCAGGGAAGAGATGACCATAGTAGGCATTAGGGAATGACGTGGGGACACTGAACAGAGTGGGAGGTGAGTTGCAGAGGGTAAGACCTGAGTACTAAGACGTGCTCTCTAGTTCAGCTCCTGGGGTAGAAAATTGAATTTAGAGCCTTGAATGGTATCATACATCCTTCCAACAGAATTAATCCACACTTTTTTTGTTTTTTACTGTTTTCTATTTTCCATCATTTGGAAATGCAATAATTTTAGTGTTGATGTCCTCATATAATTACAGACAACGTGACCTGTCAGTAGTGTTCAAGCAAAACTAAAATACAGATCAGTCTGGAAAATTTCTGAGCAGTCAGAGCCAACTAGGCCTTAAAAATAGCCTTGCACTTGCTTAAACTACAAGGATAAGTGAAACTGAATCTGGGTCCATTCCGGTAAATGTTTATGTTAGACAGAAATAAAACTTAGCCGCAGTCAATTAGAATCAGCCAACTAACAAGTGATTATGTAATAGGGGCTTTCCAAAAAGCTAATCCATGAAGGAAAAATTTTTTATTAGCAATCAATCAATTTATTTAGCTCCACATATGCTGGGGGGAATCAGTGGATGGAAAATGGCCAGGAGGTGATATCAAGACTAGGAAGACCACTGCTAAATTACCTCAATAGAATTTTTTAAAAATGGTAAGCCAGGGTAATCAGATATCACATTTAAGATAATGGAGCATGAGGAATTTGGTCAGATATTGAGGATGAGTTAGGAGGATTCCTGTTAAATCTGGATTCTACAGGTAAGAAATCCCAAGGTAAGGTCCTAGTTGTGAAGAGGATTCATAGGAGCATGACTAATGTTTGGTTAAGCAGAGAATCTTTATCAGTTGGCAGATATCATTTGAGACCTCAACTTCTGGGCCTAAAGTAGGGAGAGGGATATATTTCTTTGGCCTCATGACATCTCTCTATTTCCAATAAATCTCAGGTTTGAGGAAGGGGAATCTCTAGAATAGATTGTGACTAAATAATAGCAGAATGGCAAAAGCACACACACACACACACACACACACACAGACTTCTAGATGACTTTGCAAAGAATTTTACTGCAGGGTTCACAAGGCTCAAGAGAACTTCAAAAAGTTTGGAGACTATTGAGGAGAGGTGCTACATCCAGGGTGCGTGGAGGGATGGGATCTTGGTTATGACTGCGTCGCTTGGCAGATGAGCAATGACATGAAGTTTTGACAGAGAAGCTTAGAAGATTCTATCCAAGTGAACTGGAATCAGTGGATACTTGCTAGGCTCCTGGTTAGTTCTGTTGGCACAAGCAATCACGTAGTACTTCTGTGCTGATGACTGTGCATATAGGCAGTTTGTAATATTTTTGGAACTTTTTGTGAGGTTACAGTCAACTATATTCACCTGATCTGGGCTTTGATGACAATTTTTCATAGTATTGTTACTAGGACAGGTTATATTTGGGGTACCACAGACACCAGCTGTATCGTCAAAAGTTGTTCTAAGAAACGTATTGCGATTTTTGCATCGCCTTAAATAACCGTTAACTACTCGCATTGCGTCGTCGCATCGGGTGTGGGTCATATTTATATGCTGGATGGTAAACCACTGAGCCCAGGTAAACTGGCTGGGTTTGACATGGAATGAGCCCTCCATTCCCATGAGTCCCAGAAGCAGAAGCAGACAAAGTCGAGAATCGAGCAGTTTTGGAACCATGTTACCTGTGAGAAAAGAAGAGAGATGACTACTCCCGCATCTCATCTCGGTTATGACACATGCTTTAGTGTCTCACCCTGAAGGCCCCTCTGCTGCCCCTCTGGCATCTCATTTCCTTTCCCCTCTTGTCCCCAAAGTATACCAAGTCTCCTAAGAACTAGCATCCACTGACCCCTCCCTTAGTTGCTGCCCCATCACTGGTCCTCCTCTTCCAGCTCTGGGGATAAGTGACTTACCCCGTCTCTGTGCTCTGGCCCCTGTGAGAACTGATCTAGCAGGTTGTCCTGGAGCTCAGCAGTAGCTGGTCCTCACTAGTTGGAAGTGTAGATATAGAGTAGCCTCCTGGGTGGTCTGAGGGTTGGCCGTGTAGAAACCCAAAGATTGGCACATGGCCCGCTGGTGCAATGAGCCTCTTTGTTTCATCACTTGGCTGACCAATGAGTAACCAAGGATAGCACTGCTACTGCTTCTGTTATAAAGAATATATTTTCAAGGCATCTCGTGTAGAATAGAGTTTTGCCAGTTGGATCTGGACTCTGTGGATGAAAACTATACACTGCCTGAAGAATGACCACAGATTTTTTAACTCTTCTTGGTAAGCCACTAAAAGTCCCAAGTATATAAAGGCAAGCCTAATACTGAGAACAAATAGACCCAGGGTGGACTGTGTGTCCACAGGGAATCCAGCTTCTCTTTCATTTTTAGCAATATCCCCTGTTCTCTCTCACACAAATATTCTTCAATTTATTCATCACTTTGTGCTGAAAACTTGAGCTATGAATTTCTTGATATTCAAGATTCTGCCGGTAATGAAAAGTTTGTTAACACGTAGTTGAGGGTTTTTTTTCTTTCTTTACTCCTCTTGCATTGGATTCCCTTTCTTTTGTTTTAAGTCTTTCCTTGATTATTGCTTCCACTTTGTGTTAAGTTTCACAGCCTTAAAGCATTCAGAGGAAAGTCATTCTGTGAAATCTGATAGAGAATGAACATCTGGTGTCATGAAAGATTACAACCTGGCAATCAGTATGCCTGTGTTCTTTTCAGCCTGTGCTATTTTATATAACACAGTATGTTCTGGGGTTGTCTTTCACCTTCCTAACAAATTTCATTTTGTGATATTAACAGAAAAATGATTCTGTATTCATAAAATGAATGTTCGGGACTGAGCATGGTGGCTCACTTTTGTGATCTCAGCATCGTGGGAGGCCAGGGCAGGAGGATTGCTTGAGGCAAGGAGTTCAAGACCAGCCTGGACCACATAGCAGGACCTCCATCTCTACAAAAACAAAACAAAAAACATAAAAAATTAAATATCAAGTGAACATTTAAGAGCAGGACAATGTATTCCTGAAAGTATAGAAATCCAGTTATACCGTTTGATATGTGAAACATACAATTTTTCTTGGTCCTCAACAAAGCAGAAGAAAATAATTGTAGAAACATAATTTTATTAAAATGTGGCAGAGGTCATACCACTTGGATGAACATAGTTTTATGAATACTAAAGGTGAAGGAAGTTAGTAGACCTGATAGGACAAGGAAGACTTCCAAAAAAGGTTTCATTTCAACTGGGCCATAAAAGATAAACCGGGGGTTTGCGAGGACTTTAGGGAAGAGATGAACATTTTCAGCAAGAGAACATTCTACAGAGGTAGGAAGTGAATTAGAGGGAGTCAAGACCTGTGTGCTCAGAGGTATCAAATCTCTGCTCCAGCTTCTAGTTTAGAAAACTAGATTTAGACCATTAAATGATATCATACAACATTCCAACAAAATTGATCTACATAATTTTTCTATCTTTCTATTTTCCATCATCTAGAAATGCAATACTTTTATCAATAAGGCCCGTATGTAAATGTGGACACAGTGGTGAGTTGGACAGGACTCAGTATACAGCTAATAGTTCTCTTCTTTGAAATTCTGTTCTGACATTCACTACTATCTTTTATCCTGAAATGAGTGTTTTTCATGCATATGGTGTGGAGATCATTTTTATAGGTGATGAGGATGTACAGACAAATGAAGCACAGGGTGTCCCGTCTGTGATGCTGACAGCCACACAGATTAGAAAGACCTGCACTCAAGCGTGTATAATATGCGGCAAAAAACAAGACCATATGCAGGTTTTGCATGTGGGTCCCAGGGCTTGCATGTGGCTCAAAATCTGCTTCTTTTCCACATATGTAGCATGATTTTTTTAATGTTCGGTTTGGAAGCTAAAGTGTGGAAATAGAATAGTTCACCACTAAATTTTTAAAATTGTATGATGTTGGTGAGTGCACTGAGCCTCCATTAACGCAACCTATGAATGAGAGCTGAGTAACAGTATCCTCTGCAGAAGGGGCATTGGATCAGGGCTCTTCCCTGACTCCGTCCTTCCTACCGACTCTCATCCTGTCTGTTCAGTCAGTGATGACACCTACCTGGCTCCTGAACACATTTGTGCTTACAAACCCATCAGATTTGCTACAGAGCCTTAATAAATGACACACCATAACCAGCCTAATTGGCAATAATGCTCCTCCTTTAAAATTGCATTCAGAACCTGCCCCATAAGATTTTTTTTCTGAATGATTTTTGTATAGGTTTCTTCTGTACGTTTCCAGCTATCCTCATTTGCCTCCAGAACTAGTACAAATGATCTAGCTTGATATTTAAGACCTTTGGAGCTGGGTGCGGTGGCTCACACCTGTAATTCCAGCACTTTGGAAGGCTGAGGCGGGAGAGTCACTTTAGCCCAGGAGTTTGAGACGAACCTGGGCAACATAGTGAGACTTCATCTCTACAAAAATTAACTGAGCTAGTCCTTGGGAGGCTGAGGTGGAAGGATCACTCGAGTCTAGGAGACTGAGGCTGCAGTGAGCCGGGATTGTGCCACTGTACTTCAATCTGGGTGACAGAGTGAGAACCTGTCTCAAAAAAAAAAAAGACCTTTGAAAGGAACCTTTTCTACAAAGTAGGAATAAGTATAAGCTATGAGCCTATGTTATACAAAATACGCTGTAACTTCAGTCTGGTTTTTGGCTTTAAAACACAAAAGCCAACCTGTCGTGGTGGCTCAAGCCTATAATCCCAGCACTTTGGGAGGCCGAGGTGAGAGAATTGCCTGAGCTCAGGGATTCGAGACCAGCCTGGGCAACTTGGTGAGGACCTCTTTTCTACAATAAATCAAAAAAGAAAAAAAAAAAATCTGGGCGTGGTAGCACATGCCTGTAGTTTCAGCTACTTGGAAGGCTGAGGTGGAAGGATTGCCTGAGCCCAGCAGGTCGAGGCAGTAGTGGCTTTGAGTGTGCCACTGCACTCCAGCCTGGGTGACAGAGTGAGACTCCAACTCAAAAAGAAAAAAAAAAAAAGACAAAAGCCACTTCTTATGGATTCTGTTATAGCCTCCCTTGCATCCCAATTTAGTGACACATTTCCAGACCTAATCCTCACTTCCACTGAGAGGAAGAGCCAGAATTAGGCCATAGTATTATTAGGTCATTAAAAAAATTGATGAACAGTGTAATATATTATCCTAGGAAAAGACTTCTGTATTTGCGGTAAAAACCACTGTTGAGTACACTGGCCTCAGGATTGACCAATATCTCCTCGGTATAGGGTCCATGTGCAAAAATGTGATGTTCAATGCTTGCAATCTCTTCAACCTCAAGGCACTCTTGCAATGTCTGCCTCAATCTGCTGAGAGGAAGGTACCAACTGTCAATACTTTCTTGCACACGGTTTTTCCTAATGCAGTGGCTGTCTAGGGGAAAGACGATACATATGATTTATAGGATTGTTATAATAATATCCTGCCGGTTAATTTAATTGCAGCAAATGGAGTGGGATTTCACTTACCTACATTCAAAAGACATTTGGTGAACTGAGCTCTTTCTGGTATCTTGGACTTAGTAAGGTGCCCTAGGCCTTTGTTCTTCTTGTGTGGAACCTCCTACATGTCTCCTCTGAAGCCCACTGAGCAAGCAGATCTGACTCCTTTCATCAAGTTTCTGACATAAAATAGAAAGGGATCTTTTCTTCTTTTCTTCAACTATAACAAGTCTTTTTCCTCTCCGGAGAGGAGAGAAATAGAAAATAAAGGTTAGATGGAATATGGGGAGGTGTGTCTGAGGAGGGATGAAATACAGGGTATTTCCTAAGACATTGGAAAATGCATTCATGTGAAAAGGGATCATTGCACATTTAATAAATTTGCTTATTTCTATTGATACATCATAGATGCACATCTTTTCAGGGTACATGTGATAATTTAACACATTCGTATAATGTGTAAAGATCGCATCAGATAAATTGAGATATTCATCACCTAAAATATTTGTGTTTTCCTTTTGCTAGAAACACTCAAATTATTCTTTTCTAGTATTTTGAAGTGTACAATAGATGACCATTAACTGGAGTTACTCTCCAGATCTAGCAAACACTAGGCCTCATTTCTTCTATCAAAGTGTATATTTGCACCCATTAATCAACCTCTCTTCATCTCCATTGCATATTAAGCACATAGAGACATTCAAGGAGATCTCAGGGCTCACAGTAAATAGGTTAGTATCTCTGCAAATTAAGTTATCATATAAATTTTGTATCACAGTGATATGGAGTGTAGATTTTGTACAGTCTTGTCCAGGCACCAGCTCTGACTCTTTCTATTTGTGACTCTTAGTATAAGAATTGGCAGGTTACTAATCTTCTCTATGCCTTTGTTTTCTAACCTGTAAAATACCAACAACACCACATACATAATAGGTTGGTAGGAGAAATTTAATGAGGTAATTATGTGTGCGTGTGTATATGAACTATGTAGCATAAAGCATTGCAGAAGATAAAACATTATCTTAATAAGAACTATCAGACCTATGCATCGAGGCATCAGTGTGGTATCCAGTACTGTTGTATCCCTCTGTGATGTTTACAGTGGAACAGAATATGCTTTTTCGTTTTCTTACTCCCAAAGGTGAAGGCAGTAGAACTAGAACTCAGGGTCGGGCTCGGTGGCTCAG